CCCCCCCCCCCCTCCCCTCAAAATACGTAAAATATATATATATCTATGGGGGTGTAGGGCTTGGAAAACCCTACACTCCTATATTTTTTTTTTGAATCCGACTTTGTTTAAGATTTTTAAAAAATCAAAAACTAAAATCAATTTAAAAATATATATATATATATCGTCAAATAGTATATCGTCACAAACAGAACTATATATATACATATATATATAAATAGTGGATATAGATTAAAGGTAAATTGTCTGCCTTCCAAGCAGGGGATATGGGTTCGATTCCCATTATCCGCAATTGCGATTTGATGAAAAAAAAACTGAGATAAATAAAATGCGCGTATCAAAATTTAAAACTTGTCGACAAATCTTGGAAAATGTTTGGCAAACAAAAAAACTTACTCAAAAACAAAAAAAAATTATTTCGAAGGCTCGAAAAAAAACAAACAAGGCCGGGGTTGTCGGCGTTCGGGACGGGCCGAACGCCTGAACCCGAACGCTCGAATGTACGGGACCCCTTCAGAAGGAGTTCGGCCGTTAGGGCCGAACGCGGACCAAAAAAAAAAAAAAAAAAAAAAAAACAAGTTTTCAAAAACTTCTGAAAACCAAATATTTTATGGAGAAAAATAAACTAAGCAACATTTGCCTGGGCACTACATCCAAATTCTTTACCAATTTTGAATTTAAAATCAAATACAGAAAATAAACACTATGATAAAATTTCATAAAAATAAGAAAAAATAAAAAGAGAATTAAAATGAGTGAGTGTGCCAGCACCTTTTCGACACCGCCATCTTTGCCAATTTTAATTATTTTTTGGCATTGACAAATGCCCTGAAAATTTACAGATATGTAGTTTACATAATCAACAACTCATTAAAAAAGTTTCAAAAAATAATAAAAATTTTTAGGCCCTGAAATAAAGTGAAAACAAAAAGTTAAAAGTGAAAAAAACCAAAATAGTGAGTGGGCGAGCACGTTTTGACTACCCCATCTTTGACAATTTTTAATGTTTTTTTGGCTTAGCAGAATGGCTTCAAAATTTATAGGCGTGCAGGTTACATCATAGAG